AAAAAAGTCATAGTATAGTATGTCGTCCAAAATGTTAAAAAAAGTCATAGTATAGTATGTCGTCCAAAATGTTAAAAAAAAGGTCATAGTATAGTATGTCGTCCGAAATCATGAAAAAAAGTCATAGTATAGTATGTCGTCAAAAATGTTAAAAAAAAAGGTCATAGTATAGTATGTCGTCCAAAATGATGAAAAAAAGTCATAGTATAGTATGTCATCCAAAATGTTAACAAAAAAAAGTCATAGTATAGTATGTCGTCGAAAATGATGGAAAAAAGTCAAAGTATAGTATGTCGTCCAAAATGTTAACAAAAAAAAGTCATAGTATAGTATGTCGTCGGTTATGTTTTCTTACAATAATAAAATAGATTTTTCTGCTTTTTCATATCCTTAAGAATCTCATTATCATAAAAATACCATGACATATAGTGACATTATTTTAGGGCCGTATCACCCACTCCTATAGGTTGGACTATTGCATGTTTAAAACAGGAAGGGACAGTTCCACTTCTTACATACGTATATTATCATGCTCTGTTACACAGGCTGTCATGCAAGCAAACAATGTGTGTACAAGTATGTGCAAGAGAGAACAGTGCTGTGTGTATGTGTGTGTGATGGTTAACAAAACAAAGTGTGATTATATGTGTGTATAATAGTGAATAAAAGAAAGTATGATTGTACATGGAGGTGTGTAGTGGTGTATGTTTGAGATTATATTGTTACTTGTAAAACCAAGTATGAATTAGGTCTCAAAGGGGCCTCTCATACAAATCTGCATAATCATGTGATAACAAAATCACAAGTCAGTGAACTGGCGTCTTCATGTACTCAGGTCAGCTGCAGTTCACTGAAGTCTGAACTCTGAAAATTCCAATTCTATCTACAGCTTTGACCAGGAGGCAGATCTGTTTGTCTACCACAGGAGTTGTCTCCATACAGCTCTGTGGACTAATCCTGTTTTAATAACCTCTTTAGCTGGAGTCAAGCAACTTAATAACAGCTGCAGATATTACACTCTGAGAATCTCAACTAATGTCTGTTTACAGTGAATGTGAAGTTTAAAGCTTGGTAGCAATGATGATTTTAATTTATAGTTTTAAAATGTATATATCTCGATCAAATCCAAACATTTAGCTGGAAGTGCTTTTAGAGATCAACCCTATGTTAACTAAACAATATTTATAAACCATAGACATTAACCTGCTGAGAGTCCATCCTGACCTCCTGAGGCTTGTGGTCAGCCTGCTCTTCCTCGTGCAGATTCCTGGTTCTCTCTTCAAACCTCTGTTGATACAGCAGAATAAATATCTGTACAGCTCAATAATATGAAAACATTCACTTAAAAGCCAGAAGATACAAGATATCTGAGCAGAAATAGACTCAACCTTTAGATTCTTCTAAAATTTAACAAGATAGGCTCAATAAAGGGATCATTTCAGGTGATATCATCAGTTGTGTTTCATAACTCAACAGTAGTTAATGAATAAATGAAGGAAAAATGCAAATCAATATCACTTCCTGCATCTCAAATGTCTTTTTTGTCACTGTGTGCAGGGTGACGTAACATTACCTCATCTTCCTGACAGTTGTCCTGCAAATCTCTGCTCTTGTGTTGCTGCCTCAGTCGACTCCTGTGTTCTCTGATACAAGCTTTCTGTTTGGACACCAGCCGCTCCAGCTCAGACACCCGCTGGTGGAGCTCCTGATTGGCCTTGGAGAGGTCACCTGACCCGGCTGCTGAGGCCTTAACTGTGTGTTTCAGCTGAGTGAGAAACAGGGAATTCACAGGAACATGGTAAAAAGATAAACCTGAGGCCCAAGTTGCATCATTCATTGTTTGCTGATGAATCAGAAGCTAATTAATTTTGAGAAAGTGCAGATGATGTAAACAAAGAGTCTTGTGGTGAGGCCTGGCAGCGTCGACTGTTCGGTACACTGCATCAAACGAAAACAGCACAGTCAGAGGTAAAGATTTTTAATAAGGATTATGCATATCCATACATATTTACATATCTACACACTTTGGTAAATCTCTCTGCAGCTCAGAATTGTTTTTGGCAGCTTCCAACTTTTACTCTCAAGTCTTATTTAGAAGTCTTTCAGCAGCAGTCTGAGGCAGGGACACTGTTTAATCAGAGACTTCACAAGATGTCATCATTTACTGAGGAATATCTCTTACCTGTGCAGGATTTATAGCTGAAATCACAGTAATTCTTCTCTTGAAATAAAAAATCAATACAACAGAATGAAAAATTCCTGCCATTTGGTACCTCTGAGATTTCTCGATGCAGTGTCTTCATGGAAGATTCATAATCTCCCCTTGTTTGTTGCTTCAAAGCTCCCAGCTCCTCAGACAAATGACTAATCTGTGTCCGAACCTCGCGTAGCTCCTCGTCTCTGCAATTTATGGTGACATGCATCATGCATACATGCTGTTTAAGATGTAGTGTTCACACGTACATGTTCACCCACACACATCAAGTCACCTCAGTGTGATGGCGGCCTGGTACTGGTCTCTGGTCTGCTCCAGTTTGCTGCGTAAACTGCTGTTGGTCAACACAGCCTGCTCCAAACTCTGGGCCAGCCTCTTGTTGTCCACTTTGGCTGAATCTGAGGCCTTCTGCAAGGACTCCAGCTGGAGGGTTCGAGCACACACACACACACACACACACAGTATACACAGGTTTAATTACACAAACATTTTGTAAACATAAATAGATTTACCCACTAGGGTTAGGCAAAAATGAGCTGGCCACTTGCTGCTCCCATCTTTGTGCACTGAGCTTGTACCCTGTCAACTCTGAGTTCCCATCAGGCACACAGAGGCTGTACATGGCACCTTCATTATATTTTGCCTGGAGCCCAGGATTCAGAATATAAAACTCTCCTAAATTTGTTGTAATTTAATTCAGCAGAAAGGCATTTAGAAATATGAGCCATGTTAGCGCAGTATCAACCAAACTAGATTTTGTTGAGGGCCTCAACATAATGCTGGACCTGCCTTAAAGGAACAGGTCAGCATTTTGGCAGATAGGTTTACTCCACTGAAAAAGAATGAGGGTAAAATGGACACAGCAAGATGGTCAGAGCAGTGGCCATATGTTTACCGTTACCACTGCAACTGTTGTAGCAGGCTAATTTCCATATACCAAATGGACTTTAATGTAGAATAAAATCCTCAGTATTACTGAAGAAAAACCTTAAGCTACTGCAAGGTTAGTGAGTTAGCTTGCTAAATAGTGAGCTATGCTAACAAGTAGACTTGCCGTTAGCCTAGAATATTATCTTGCAATCTAGGTAGGCTATGCTGACGAGTAAGCTTGCCAGTAGCCTAGAGTATTAGCACGTTAGCTTGATAACTGGGTGGACAATGCTAACAAGTAAGCTTGCTAACTATGTAGGCTATGCTAACAAGTAAGCTTGCCAATAGAGAAGAACATTAGCGAGTTAGCTTGCTAACTATGTAGGCTACGCTAACAAGTAAGCTTGCCAATAGAGAAGAACATTAGCGAGTTCGCTTGCTAACTATGTAGGCTACGCTAACAAGTAAGCTTGCCAATTGAGAAGAACATTAGCGAGTTCGCTTGCTAACTATGTAGGCTACGCTAACAAGTAAGCTTGCCAATAGAGAAGAACATTAGCGAGTTCGCTTGCTAACTATGTAGGCTACGCTAACAAGTAAACTTGCCAATAGAGAAGAACATTAGCGAGTTCGCTTGCTAACTGTGTAGGCTATGCTAACAAATAAACTTGCCAACAGAGAAGAAAATTAGCAAGTTAGCTTGCTAACTATGTAGGCTATGCTAACAAGTAAGCTAAGAATAATATTCATTTTGGGGTTGCAAAGATCTGTTGAGGACACATTTCCCTCCTTTTTGATACCCTATTCAAAACAATTTTTTGCAAGATTGCAGTTCTTGTGTTGATCCAGGACCATCATCATCATCATCATCATCATCTCTATCCTGCATAATTTGTTGGATCCAGGGATATCAATGATATGTTGATGTCAACAAATTTCCAGAATCAGCGTGATGATGATGGTTCTGGATAAACCTAATCAAATCTATCCAGGTTCAAGATGGAAAAAGGAGGGAAAACAGCAAAAATGTTATTATCCTTCCTCTTTGTTAGTGAACAGTTTACTCGTTAGCATAGCCTACCTACTTAGCAAGCTAGCTCGCTAATATTCTAGTCTATTGGCAAGTTTACTCATTTGCATGGCGACATTGTTTAGCTTCATTTTTGAAAACTAGCTCAGCTCTGAAGAAACAGAGAAATTTTGAAAGAAGCACAGGAAAAATCACATTGTGCTGTTTGAGACCATGTCAACTTTGAGACATTTAAAGTACTCTGTCATCATGTTTTTCAGTCACTTTTCATGCCTAAACCTGACCTCCACAACTTTACGTTAAGTGCGTAAATAGGTGGAGTATGCAATGTCCTTCGTGGGGCACCAGTTCGTATGATATCATATGCAACACTGTATGAGGATACTGATATTGATTCGATGAATTAAGGATTTATTTCAACCAAACCAGAGCTGTTGACAGTTTTGGTGAGTTTGAATGAAGTGTGTTTTAAGATGAGCTAACAGGGCTAATTAAAGCTAATGATAGTCTTAGTTCGGTGAAAGAGAGAAACTTGGATTGCTGTACAGTTGTACTTTTCTGCTAAAATATAAGACCGTAAACTGACATGCTGTCACCGTAACAGCAAACAACAATCGCCATTTTCTTTTGCACAAGTCAAATGACCCAGGAAACAGTCCAATGTCCTTTCTGTTTCTATGGTTTATTCTCTTTCTTGCCCAGAGTTAGATAATCAGAGCGACTCTTCTCTCTCTTAAAGGACATATGAAGCTACAGCCAGCAGCTGCTGCACTTAGCTTAGCATGAAGAGGAAACAGCTAGCCTGTCTCTGTCCAAAGCATCTCTACAGCTCACTAATGCCACGCCACGTCTAGTTTGTCTGATCCGTAGAAAAGATGAAGCATAAAGACAACATGTTGTGATTTTACAAGGGCTTATTGGCCGGATTATTTCTTGGCCGGGTGCAGGACTGGAATCTTATCTTCCAGGCAACCAGCAGAGACTCCAGGAAGTTACTGAGTCCGGCCAAGAAGAAGTCTGGCACACCGCACAGACAGCAGAGTGGTAATGATCGCCTCCTCTAACTCCTGGCACCACACCTAATGAGTGTATCTCCCCAAATCTCTAACTGTTCTTTTAAGGCCTGTCGTTTCAGTTGAGGTTTTGCTTTTGTCATTTAAACAAATGGTGATCCTCTGGCCTCAAGGGCCACTGAGGGTTTGGGGCCCCTTTTGCCCAGTCATGAATCAAGTCTTGGAGACACAGCACTACAGAAACAAATAATATAAAGTGATATCTCAGTGGGTGGAGCAAAATAATCACATTAGTTTTTGTTGCTGCTCTGTGAATTTTCCTGCTCCTCCCTTTCTATCACACCAACACATAAAAGGCGCTAAAATCACGCTATATCTAGTTTCCTCTGGTATAACTGCACAGCTGCACCAACTGTGTCTCCAGCTTAGTCGCCCCTGACTGCAGCTGAGAGACATGTAGTTGAGTCATGATGGTAAACTTAGCAACAACCTTCACTGACCCTTTGAAACCTGGAGCAACATCACTTTTCTTGTGCTGCTTTCAGACACATTTCGCAAGTACTTGAACCTTTGAACCCTGAGATGATTGCAGGGTTCCTACGCAAGTATGGTAAAGTATGGAAATAAATTTGATTAATTTCCAGGTATTAAAAAGTATGGAAAATGAAAAATAAAGTATGGAAAAATATTTATGTTTCCAGACTATTACCACTGTTCTAAAATACTGTTTTCTAAAATAGAAAATTAGATATTTCCAAAAATAATTTAATCAATCCAGATCGTGTTTTATGCCGGGCCAAGCACAGTTTGTGTGAGAGCAAACGTCTCAGAAAACATACCGCCCCTTTTACCTGACTGACAAGTGGTATGTCCAGTCCGCTGCCCCATGACCCTCCTCCAGCCCCCCAGGTATCAAGTTTCACTCCAACACTGCACCTTCGACAAGAAGATGTTTTTGGATGGATGGCTTGACAATACCATAAATAAAAATCCTGGTTGGCCAAGGATTCCCAATTCACACACAGAGATTGGTGTGATTTCGTTCAAAAACATGGGAAAAGGGCAATGAGCAATCTGAAAAGACACAAAAAGTTTAAAAACGACGAGGGAAAAAAAGAGAAAAATCTAAGGAATTTTTCATTTTTATAGTAATTATATTATTAATAATAATTATTAAATTTTAAGATCATGTTGCAGAATTTTCTTTTACATTTTAAGCACTTTTCAGAACAATTTTTTTTTTTTTTTTTTACAAATTTTCTTGTTTTTAATTTTTTTAAGTAATTTCTGCTTTCATTGCTACTTTTCTTCTTTTCATGTTTTTGAAGGAAGTTTGACGTTTCAAAGGGTTTAAGGTGGATTTAAAAGAGTATGATTTCTATTTTTGGTGTATAACCCATCTTGAAGATCAACTCTTTCCAGTCTTAACATCAGTTATTAGTTCAGTTGCCATTACAGCATGCATTTATAGTCTGATAGGAACTACAGTGCTGTTTCATGGACAGAACTTCAGAACTTTGCCATGACTTTTCAGGGACTCATAATAAAAAGAAAAGCGTACACTTCACTGTGTCTCTCACTCTCTCACTTCGCACAAACACCACCACACTACGTCACATATACACGTAACGTCTGAAAGCAGAAGGCTTGGCCGGTATAAGTCATGGAGAATGAGAACTGTGCAAGTTTTCCATTTGTATCAAGCATCAAATAAGTTGAGTTAATTTGCCTTACTTGACATTGCACGTCCTTCGATGTGACTATTGCCCATCGCAATATCGATACTGATTTTATATGTCATGCAGCCCTCAGCTGACACATATCAGAGCTATGTTATGTCAACGGCTTACTCACAGAAAATAAATCTGTCGTTATGTTACATTATATGAAAGGCTATCCCTGGAAGATTACTGTAACAATTAATTTCATTACAAACAAAATTCCACGAGTTTTCTAAAACTGTTAATGTCTTTGGCTAATTTATTTCATTCATTTTCCAGGCCTGGAAAATGAGACTGTATGAAATTCCATGACTTTTCCCAGTTTCCCATCACTGTAGGAACCCCATTTTAACTGCAGACTTGAAGAGCAGCAATCCAGACAAACATCAAATTAGTTGAATTTAATCAAGCCCTCCTGGCCTGTCACTAAATAGATACACTAGTTATTTATCCTGATGACCTTCCACGAACATCAAGAACATGAGAGTCTCATCGTGGTTTAAAATATTTTGACCAGCGCTCCCTCTTTTCTCGTCACACTTGTTAATTTTTAATCACTGTGTAGTATTAAAAGTTGTTCTTTGGCTCAAGCTGTGAGATAATGTCTGACCCCTGGTGCTGGTTGTGTCTTCTTTTATTACAGTCATCTCCTGACATGAATGATGATAAAATAAAACTTAATCTACAAATATTAAAAACGTCTGCATGTGTTAAAGAAATGCTGCGTCCTTACAGCTCTGTTGTTCTTGGCGTGAGTAGACGTCAGGAGTCGCTGGAGTTTCTCCACCTCTGCTTGGTGTTTTCTGATTTCTCTCTGAGCCTGCACCCTGGTACACAGGAGAGCAACACGTAACATCATGAACTACACAGCTTAATATCCAGATGTGCACATTCTGCACAAGCATGTATGATTTTAAACTGCCATTATTCACGCTCAGTGCTGAGAGTCAAACTGTGTCATGCAGTGTTTGTGATCCAGCTCTGACCTGTGTGTCTTGAGGGTGCTCAGCTCCTGCTGCAGGGTCTGAGAGGCCAGGATGTTTTCAAGGGTTTGACTGACAGCGCCCCCTGCAGGACAAGAGACACCCTGCAAGGCCTCCAGCTCACTGACCTACAGCACAGACAGGTGATGTTACAGCTCACTGTGAGGACACGTTTATTCATTTGTAAGTGCGCTCAATCAGATGTGCTGAGGTTGAATGAATGTTTTTGGCCATTTGTAAAATAGGAAATATAAACCTGTCAGTGTCGTCCGTGATTTCTTGCCTATCAGGACTAAAGGTGTGTAAAAGCTACACTCTGTTGCACTGTTAGTAATTAATAGTAAATATTAGAAGCTTTCCTATTTTACTAGAATAACGTTTGAGTGAACAATTCTGACAATGTTTCATAGGAATAAAATAAACTGTCCTTCAAAAACCACTCTCCAGTGGTTCAGACAACTGAGTGTTCTTTGCACTAAAGTTCAGACCTCACTAACATGCACTTTAAATACGTTTTAAAAACCGTGGGAACCCTGTGAAGATAAAAGTCAAGAAAGAAAATAGTTCCTATATGAAACCGCTCACAACAAGGTCTGTGGATCATCTTCTATTCGATTTCTAGACAGAGATATTTTTGCTGAGTTTTTCAAATGTACTTTTTGGGGACTTTGAGCAACACAAGCTGAGTTTCATCTAGTTCCATTATATTAGACAGAAGGCAGACATCTCTACAGCTGATATCTCCAACACTCTGCAACTCACACTGAAACTATCAAGATTGATAAACAGCACTACAGGTGAGAGGGAAAATATGTATTTTGATTTGGGTGAACTGTCCCTTTAAAGCAGCTTGAGAGCATAAGATCTGTGCTTCAAATCATCATCAACAATCAGAGTATATGTGACAGTAACAAAGCTGCACTTTCCTAAATGAACGTCTCTCTGTAGCAGCTGGATGTGTAAATACACTGCCTGGCCAAAAAAAAAGTCACCACCAAAAAAAAAGGTCATACACTCTAATATTTCGTTGGACCGCCTTTAGCTTTGATTACGGCACGCATTCGCTGTGGCATTGTTTCGATAAGCTTCTGCAATGTCACAAGATTTATTTCCATCCAGTGTTGCATTAATTTTTCACCAAGATCTTGCATTGATGATGGTAGAGTCTGACCGCTGCGCAAAGCCTTCTCCAGCACATCCCAAAGATTCTCAATGGGGTTAAGGTCTGGACTCTGTGGTGGCCAATCCATGTGTGAAAATGATGTCTCATGCTCCCTGAACCAGTCTTTCACAATTTGAGCCCGATGAATCCTGGCATTGTCATCTTGGAATATGCCATCAGGGAAGAAAAAATCCATTGATGGAATAACCTGGTCATTCAGTATATTCAGGTAGTCAGCTGACCTCATTCTTTGAGCACATACTGTTGCTGAACCTGGACCTGACCAACTGCAGCAACCCCAGATCATAACACTGCCCCCACAGGCTTGTACAGTAGGCACTAGGCATGATGGGTGCATCACTTCATCTGCCTCTCTTCTTACCCTGATGCGCCCATCACTCTGGAACAGGGTAAATCTGGACTCATCAGACCACATGACCTTCTTCCATTGCTCCAGAGTCCAATCTTTATGCTCCCTAGCAAATTGAAGCCTTTTTTTCCGGTTAGCCTCACTGATTAGTGGTTTTCTTAAGGCTACACAGCTGTTCAGTCCCAATCCCTTGAGTTCCCTTCGCATTGTGCGTGTGGAAATGCTCTTACTTTCACTATTAAACATAGCCCTGAGTTCTACTGTTGTTTTTCTTCGATTTGATCTCACCAAACGTTTAAGTGATCGCCGATCACGATCATTGACCCATTGTCTTCCTCGAAGACAATGGGTCCCCACTATCCTTCCAGTTTTTAATAATGCGTTGGACAGTTCTTAACCCAATTTTAGTAGTTTCTGCAAACTCCTTAGATGTTTTCTCTGCTTGATGCATGCCAATGATTTGACCCTTCTCAAACAGACTAACATCTTTTCCACGACCACTGGATGTGTCTTTCGACATGGTTGTTTAGGAAATGAGAAGCAACTCATTGCACCAGTTGGGGTTAAATAACTTGTTGCCAGCTGAAAGATAATCGCCCATGCAGTAATTATCCAATAGGAGGCTCGTACCTATTTGCTTAGTTAAATCCAGGTGGCGACTTTTTTTTTGGCCAGGCAGTGTATGCAGCTGTTCACTGACAAATTTGCCTGATCAAATTTATGAGCTTGTTTCTGCTGCCCCCAGGTGTTCACATCTGTTAGTGCAGGTTTAAACATATTGACTTGTGCACTGAGTTAAGTTTCATTAAAAAAATAAGAAGCTAAAATTGACGTCTAAATCAGTGTCTGTGTGTTGTACCTTAAGATTCCCTTTCTCACTGGCAGTCAGGTCCTTCAGCATCTGGTCCACCTGCTGCAAACACACACACACACACACACACACACACACACACACACACACAATCTGAACAAGTGCCAACTGTAAGCATTTCTGCCAGGCTACATTTTGGCACCATTAACTGATCCATACGCATAAAAATGAAGCTCAGGTCAATCAAGTTCAATCATGAAGACTTTTTCTTTGCTTCATCCATTCACAACTCTCCCACTGCTTCCTCCAATCAAGTGACCTTATAGTTATCTTATCAAACTTCGCCATGATCTCTATCAGCCAATCAGGATGCTCCAGTCAAATTTGAAACCTGCTCTCTCCTCTGCTGCTGTCAGCTGTCATTTTAGGCAGAACCATCGCACCCTCCTCCACCTCGTTCACCTCGTTCACCTCGTATCCAGAGTCCAGGACAAGCTCACCAAAAGCCCATTCCTCTTCTCATCTCATCTCGTCTTCACCACTGCTACCACCACTAGAATGAGGAACTCTAAACCATCTCCATGGGGTCTAATCGCCAAGACTTTCCACTTTTTTCACACTTGTGCACATGCTAATAAATATTCTTTTCACAAAGAATGAGTCCCTCCTGACTGAAATACTATAAGTGCATAAGTAGATCCACAATGAGAGATAAAGTGCTGAATGTAACGGTGACCTGTCTCTCACCTGCTGCTGCTCCAAAGCCGCCACCTTTCCCATGAGCCTCCTGTTCTCATCCTGCTGCCTCTGTAGGGCTGAGCTCAGAGACCCCGCCTCCTGCTGTCAATCAAAGGTTCACAGGCACCAACAGGGAGAGAAGTTAGCGCTATAACCAATGGGTGAATGCATATAAAGCGTCATATACAGGGTCCCCACGTGGAAAAGGTCATGGAAAAGTTTTGAAATTTCGTCCATGAAGACGTGTGGGAGCCCTGGATATAGTGTGGGACGGCTTTCTCACCAGTCCTACCTTGGCCTCAGTAAGTTGGGTCTCCAAACTGCTCCTCTCACCCTCCAACTTAGTGACAACAAGACTCAGCTGGAGGCCAGTGAGAGACAGGACGCATACACAAAGAGTAATTTCTTTACTTCATGGTGCAACACTTCCCATCATGCAAAAAAATAACTGCGTTTGTTGAATATACCTTGTTCTTTAAACTCTGCGGGTCTTTCCTCACTGCACCCTCCTCTCTCCTGGCCGTGCTCAGCTCCCCCCGCAGTCTCTCAATGGTTCGCTCCAGTAGCTCCCTCTGAGTGGACGCTGTCTCTCGTGCAGTGGAGGAGCTCTGCAGGAGCTGTGCATGTTCACCTGTCAGCTTCTGTCTGGAGAAGGACAGATATTTTGTTTTGCATCTAAAGACGATACTTCCAATTCCAAAAACCCAAAACAAACACACTTCTCTCAATTTGTCTTTTAAACTGTCAACATTTCATGTCCAAAACGCATCAGCGGCATCAAAGTTCAACCATCAGATTAAACTGAATCTCCAACAAATGCCAGAGTTATACAGTTATTGTAGGTGGGTGGTTTCGCAGCACAGTGAGACAGGTTTCATTAAACAATGACACCAGGGGAGTCAGAAACTGAAAAATATAGATAACAGAGACAAACTTTGATTTTTAATAAAGGACCAAAATCAAATATCAGTCTGAAACATTACAAACCAATATATCTGTCTAACCTCACTGTTCTCAAATTATGACACTGTCTCCTCTCCCAGCAGCGCTTGTCTCTTATGAGACAGTGAACTCAGGGAAACAGGAGAGAAAAGAAAAAGAGACATCGTGGGTCGTGGACAGAACAATGTGCTGCGGTTCTGTTTGGCTCTGAGGTCATTTTAAAAACTGAATATTATCGTCTGTAAATATTTATTGTTGGTATTTATTATTTGTCTGGCATCTGGAAGAAGTTTTAGATCCTCCAAATAACCCTCACTGCAAATACATGCATGACAGGAAAACTATGACTGTAACCAACAAACCAAAGTTATTAAGATTTTATAAATCTTTGCAAAAAAAAAAAAAAAAAAAATCATCTCCTATTTAATTTCATAAATTTTAGTTTTACAAATGAATACTGTTACATAAAGTGAGAGGTGAGAGGGTGAGAGTGTTCATGAGAGAGACTCACAGCTCCAGCTGCAGGTTAACTTTATCTGTGAGCGCCACCTGCAGCTCAGTCTGGATGCTGCGTGTGGCTGCTTCCAGCTGCAGGTCCTGCTGTTGAAGCTGGTGGACCGCACGACTCCGCTCAGCCTGAGAGAAGAGAGAGAAGGGAGAGTCCTACTTTGTGTATTTCTGTGTATTTCAGCTGTAAAGAAGAGAGCAGGTGTTTGGACGACAGCAGGATGTGTCACTAGTGCAGTGCACCTGATAACTAACGTTGTCAAAGAGGGCACCAAAAGTGGGAAACATGTTTAAAGCAGAGAACGAAAGTGTTCCTGTTCAGGTGTTAGAATTATATTTAATGGATAAACTTCCAAAGCTTATTTTGAATTCAAGCCCAAAAGGCTGAAATTCTTTTCTTTTTGTGTGAATTTATTATTATTACAGATGCACGATATTGGATCATGGATTTTGGGAGAAAAACATACTGTTAACTTTGTAAGTTTCCACATGACTGTGCTGCAGGAACCTCTCAGACTAACACGTCTACGTGGCTTAAAAAAAAATCAGACGAGGAATAAATCAACTCTCTGCCCTCCATCAGGAGTTTACTGTTTTCTGTCTGCTGCCTCTGAAGAGCCACATGAACATTCTCAACACACACACACACACACACACACACACACATACAATATTTGACAGCAGAAATAAAGATTTAACAGTTAACTGAAGAGATTTCCATTCACTGATCTCTGTCTACGTACCTTCAGCTCAGTCCTCAGCTCAGACACGAGGGAGTCCTTCATCACTGAGAATGAAACACAATAATACAGTTCAACATCCAAACATCATGTGAAGCTCTGGGGCTTATTAAGAATGTAAATATGATTTGTGTAGTACCTGACCAACCTTTCAGCCAGAACAGAGGCCTGTACTATAAAGCCAGTCCAACTTACCCAGGATATCTGTTCATTATCTGCCTTGATTAACCCGTCACATTGTCTGTCTGTAAAACCAGTACTACACAGCTGGTTACTAGTTCAGTCAACTCTGGGTTTTCCTATCCAGCCACGAGCGTGTTTATGGGGTGTTAATTACAGGCAACATCACCTGGACGATGAGATTATATGGTACTGAAAGTGTCTGCGACGGTGAGACAGTAACATGTTGATGGTGTGAGATGTAAACGATACTCTGCAATCCTATAATGGAAAATGTAAAACACTGAAAATAGTATCCAAAACTTCACCGTCAGCCGAGACTTACATTACATGTTAGCATCACAAGGCCACATGTGATATTAGTAGAGAGTGTTTTGCTGTTTAGTTGCATGATGATGAAACTCCTCTGAACATGTCACATTAAACACTTTAAAGTAAAGACAGACTGTTTCTGCTGCTGAAGCAAAGAAGAGTTGATGACTGATGAGGTCTGTCTGACTGAAATGTGGCTTTTATAATAAAATATAATCTTTGTTTTATCCTAGTTCTCATCACACAGGTGTGAGCTGCAGTGATGAATCAGAGTGTGAAAGTAGCAACATTATAACTGCGACTAAAATAAACTTTACATAATTTGAAATGCAGCTAAAACCACATGTTTAGAGTTGTAAATGATCTCTGTTTGTTTTAAGCTCTGTTTTAAAACCAGTGGACTGGACTTTTGTTCATGGGTGCATTTTTTCTTCAGTGATCTGATTGGTCAAGAGGTCGAGGTGTTGACAGGCTGTGATCTGGAGCAGGTTAACTGTTCAGCATAAGTTGCCACAGTGATTGATGCAGGTAAAGAGAGCCAGCTTCTTAGTCCTGGAAACCAGACTTAAAGGGAAATTTCTGTTTATTTCAACCTGTCTCCTATCGTCCTAAATTTGTTTCAAGTGATTAGTGACATAGAAATAATAGTTAGCATGTTAGCCGTTAGCCTAGATACAGCCGTAGCGTCGGACCTGTTAAAACGTAAGTGAACGGGCAACCTTCAAGTGCAAAGTTAGTCCACTAAACAAGCTTTTTTTCCACAAAGACCGCCTCATATCGTTAGGATAAATGTCAGAGAACATATAGAAAACGACATGTAAACGTGCTGTCTTACCTTACCGGTGTGCTGCCATGTTTGTTTACCATCTAGCTCTGCTTTCCAAAGAGCGGCCGAAATATCGCAGTCTCATACCGTGCCTGAAATCTCACGAGAACAAGCAGCAACAGCAGGAAGGCAGAACCGGGCAGTAGCCTGAAAAGTTCATTCATTCATTTTATGAAAGATTTATAGAATAATGGCTGACTTTTTGCCAGACTTCGACTTTGTGGAGGAGGAATTTGATTTTGCAGAGTTTGATGGCCGCCCTTATTTATTTGAGCCAGAATACACTGACGAAGAGCTTTGTGAAATTGAAGAACGGAGGAGGAGAGAGAGAGAGGCGCAACAGGTAGAGGAAGAGAGAGGAGGAATGGCTGCTGCAAGGCTGCGTAGCTCTGGAGATTGGTGGTGTACCTGTGAATGCTGTGCCCCAGTGCCCACAGAAGAGGAATGCCTCTGTTGCAAGGAATGGGACCGGTTGCAGCCTTATTTTCAAGGTCTGGATGTGACCGAGGACGAGACACCTCCACCTGGAGTAGTATCCAGCTGGGCTTTATCTAGAGCTCGCCAGATATATTTCGTATATTTGACGTCACCACACTAACTCCTGACAAAACCTTCTTCGTAGTTCAGGCCTGTGGTGCCACATCTAAAAGCAAAAACAATATCTATCATTGAAGGTAAAGTGTGTAAGATTTAGTGGCGAGGATTGCAACCAGCTGATTCACACTACACATCAATGATTCTCCAACATTGTTCGGCCTGTCAGTGACGAGCACCTGCCAATGTTTGCTCACCTTTTTGCTGATCCAGATGTTCAGGAGATTTTTACTGGGAGTCCAGTTATCCACAGAGGTCTCCACCTCTCCAAGACAAACGGACCCAGTAATTAAAACCGGTAGAACGCTGACTAAAGCAGTTTTACATTAATACCGTTAACAACTAGTTATGAATGACCTGGATCAAAGATTTGTGACTGTGTTTTATTTGTTATGAAAACATTCATCATTATATTGTATCTACATTTCACACACAGTGCATGTTAGCAGGAAACCTGGATGTGCTCTGTACAACACGCTTTGGCTTCTTCTAAAAGAGAGTGTATTTCGTGTGTGTGTGTATTTCTGAGATCCTTCTGAAACGTGCTGCTCGAATACGATTACTCTCATCTAGAGTGGCTGTGATCAGCCTGGGCGGTTGCTTGGTCGCATGGTGGAGTTCTGCGCTCTACTGAGTGCACTTCTTTTTGTTTTGTTTGCCCACTGTATGATTCAGGGTGTTTGTTTTTACAGAGTGGAGCTCAGAACAACTTCCTGCCCGTGAGAGACGACCTGACCACACAACATGTTGTATGTGACCAAAAGAACTGACAGCTGGAGAAATAAACTGTAATCTGTACTTTTCTTTCCTCAGACGCCTCACAGCAGCGTTCTGCGATGGCTACAGCACAGCCACAACAGATTGGTTTGGATGCCTCCTCACCTGTCTGCTCTGTGAGCTGCTGACAGCGCTCCTCCAGCTGTTGGACTCTGTCTTCTTCTTCAGCCAATTGCTGCCGGCCGGTCCGCACCTCCACACGCAAGGCCTGGCAATCTGAGCGCAGCATCAGAGCCTGGGAGGCCAGAGGCAGACAAGCTGTCAGCTGCTGTTTCCACATGCTCATTACTCGCCCAGCGCTCTTACAATGTACCTGTCTCCTCTCCATCTCCACTGCTCTCTCCATCTCCTCCACCCGCTGGAGAAACTCGCTGTGAGATTTCATGGCTTCAGCGGAGCGGGCCGACTCCTGTCTCATCTGCTGCTGCATCTGGCCACAGGGAGGGTTTGTTAACAGGGTTCGTCTTCAGGTCGTCAGGGCACATGTGTGACAGAGGGCGATAACAGGGCTAAAGTAAATTAAAATAATTAGCCACTCACCTCCGTCAGTTTCTGACTCATCTCTAATTTGACGATCTTCAGCTCCTCAGCTGCCAAAGCCACTTCCATCTGGAGCAAGAGACAAATGGTAACAGTCATGTATTATTAATCAAGAAAAGAGAATTACAACAAAGTGATCCAGTTTCACAGTTTGCTTCAAATATTCAGTAAAAACTAAAATGATCTCTCATTTCTTCAGTTTGTGAACAACAACAGTAACTCAGAGTGAGATTCAGATTCTGTTACAATATTAATAGTTCAACTAAATAAAATCAACCACAAATTACACATTTAAACAGCTCCAAATACAAAAAATGTCCCCTGGGATCTATATATATATAAATCAACAGGTGATTTCCTTCTTTTAGTAAAATCCTAAATGACTGAGTTGTTTTTTCCACCTGGACCTTTATGCTCTGCCATTTCTCCTCTAATCATCACGCTGTAACCTGTGACAGGCTGTTATGATACCACAACTATCACACAGTCACATATGTGGAGTTTATTGTTGAGCTGCGAGCGTCACGTAGGTTTACATTACCAAAGGTGTATGACAAAATCACTTGATGACACTGACTACCAGTGAGAGAGGAGAGGGAGAGACGCTGTGCTGCTGCCAGACGAGCCGCTGAATGAGTTCCCTCTGAGCGGTAAGTCACTAAAGGAGTCTGAGAAGTCCGGGGCTGTTCATAAAACATTCAGGACGCCACAGTTTATTCCACACTACTGAAGCTGCTCCTCTTTTTGGAACCACCGTGGAGTCGCTGATAATTTGCAGCCTGTTAAGAACTCTAGTTAGCAGCCTGTTACGGAGTTAGATTTGTGTCTTTATTACATGCGAGAAAATAAATTATATGAGAGAAAAAAAATATTTGAGAGAAAAAATTTTCACATTAATAGCAAAAAATAATAATATCTGAGACTAAAAAAAGTTTTGACAGAAAGTATTTTGTCATAGAATATAAAAAAATAATTTGAGATTTAAAAAATGATTTCCGAGGAAAAAAAAAACTCTCAAAAAACTTTTTTTTTTTTTACTCTCAAATATTATTTTTTTGCTATCAGTGTGAAAACATTTTCTCTCAAAAAAATTGTTTCTCTCAAAACATTTTTCTTCTCTCTCTCAAAACCTAAGTCTTTGCTCTCGTGTCAGGATTTTGCTTTCGCTGCGAAAATAACGTCATGGGCGGGGCCACGTTCCTATTGGCCAGTCTCAATCGAATTGACAGCTGGGTGAGGGTCGTCTTGGGATCATCATTCATCCACCATGGTCGATTCACTGGCACAGATGTGCTGCGTTATTTGGGAGTGGAGACTCCAATGTTTGGGTAAGATGATGACACAGATGATGAATGATTCAGTTGAATTCGACTCCCAAGACGATCCTCACCCAGCTGTCAATTCGATTGAGACTGGCCAATAGGAATGTGGCCCCGCCCATGACATTATTTTCGCAGCGAAAGCAAAATCCTGACACGAGAGCAGAGACTTTTTTGAGAGAGAGAAGAAAAATGTTTTGAGAGAAACAATTTTTTTTTGAGAGAGAGAGAAAATGTTTTCACACTGATAGCAAAAAAATAATATTTGAGAGTAAAAAAAAGTTTTTGAGAGTTTTTTTTTCTTGGAAATCATTTTTTAAATCTCAGATTATTTTTTTATATTCTATGACAAAATACTTTCTCTCAAAACTTTTTTTAGTCTCAAATATTATTATTGTTTTGCTATCAGTGTGAAAACTTTTTCTCTCAAATTTTTTTTTTCTCATATCATTTATTTTCTCGCATGTAATAAAGACACAAATCTAACTCCATACCTGTCTGCAACAAGCAGCATCACAAAAACACAGATTTTTTTTAGCGTGAAAATGCTTTACTCAGTGTTTTCACCGGTCTGTTTGTTTTGCTTTGAACAATGAACACTAAAGGAATTCTAACCAAGTTTCAGCTAGGCCTGTCACGATAACAGATTTTGCTGGGCGATTAATTGCGTCAGAAATTATTGCGATAAGCGATAATGTGTAATATTGTGCTTTTAAGACCATTTTTATTATTGTTGTAATTTTGCTGTTTATAGACCATTTTTTAAACTTATGTAATGATAATAAAGGCATATTGATGCAAGTACACCCTTTTAAAAAGAAATAAACATTTATTTAACAAGAATATTTAAGAATGCGGGGCGTCGGTGGCTTAGTGGTAGAGCAGGCGCCCCATGTACAAGGTAGAGGCTGACATTTTTCCGGGAGTCCCACGGGTCACGTGATTCCCGTGGGATTCCCACGGGAAGGGAATCAGTTTCACTATTCTTCACGTGATTGGGACGGGATGGGAAAAAAAAAAGTTAAGCCTGTCACGATATGCGATAAGTTGGTTAATTGCACGGTAAATTAAAAGGGATTAATTGCCATATTCATGCATGTTTGTTTTCGTCATCTCTCTCCACCAAAGAGACTGGATGACAAGAGCGTTCACTGCCGTGCATCGTCTGGCAGCCAGGTGAGTTGGTTCATTAGCATAATGAACGGAGGGAAAGCTCTTGTCATCGAGTGTCTTTGTCTCTGTGGGGGAGGCGGGGCTATGGGATACACACACACAGTGCGATCTTGAGGGGGAGACGAGGCGGAGAAGAAAACAGAGAGTTGAGCGTAAGAGAAAGACATGGAACTTGTTCCTAAACCAAATGCCACGGCCCCTGTGTGGGAGTGTTTTGGATTGAAACCAAATGACAGAGGGCAGCCCAGTAATTTGGACGAGCCGGCGTGCCGGGTTTGTTCTAAAACCATCTCAACAAAAAGAGCGAATACGACCAACTTAACTGCACACCTGCTACAACAGTAACATGCTGCTCTAACACTGATGCTTCAGTATTAATAATCTAATGATGCCATATACAGTAAGGTCCATAATTATTTGGACAATGATACAGTTGTCGTCATTTTGGCTCTGTATGAAACAATGAATACCTGCTTAAAGTGCAGACTCTCAGCTTTCATTTAAGGCTTTGTTCAAAAATGTAGTATGAACCGTGTAGGAATTACAACCATTTCTTCACACAGTCCCCCGACTTTAAGGGCTCATAAGTATTTGGACAAACTAACATAATCATCAATTAAACAGTCAGTTTTAATACTTGGTTGCAAATCCTTTACAGTCAATGACTGCCTGAAGTGTTGGACACATAGGCATCATCAGATGCTGGGTTTCTTCCCTGGTGATGCTCTGCCAGCCCTTTACTGCAGCCGTCTGCACTTCCTGCTTGTGTTTTGGGTGTTTTGCCCTCAGTTTTGGCTTCAGCAAGAGAAACGCATGCTCAGTTGGATTCAGGTCAGATGATATGACTTGGCCATTGCAGAACATTCCACTTCTTTGCCTTAAAAATGTCTTTGGTTGCTTTTGCAGTATGCTTCAGGTCAATGTCCATCTGCACTGTGAAGCATCGTCCAATGAGTTTTGAAGCATTTGGTTGAATCTGAGCAGATAATGGTGCCCCAAACACTTCAGCTTTCATCCTGCTGCTCTTGTCAGCAGTCACATCATCAATAAATACAAGAGAACCAGTTCCACTGGCAGCCATACATGGCCATGACATAACAGTACCTCCACCATGCTTCACTGATGAGGTGGTGTGCTTTGGATCATGAGCAGTTCCTTCCCTTCTTCCTTCTCTTGTCTTCCCATCATTCTGGTAGTTGATCTTTGTTTTATCTGTCCATAGTATGCTGTTCCACAACTGTACAGGCTTTTTAGATGGTTTTTGACAAACTCTAATCTGGCCTTCCATTTTTAAGGCTAACCAATGGTTTGCATCTTGTGATAAACCCTCTGTATTTATTCTAGTGAAGTCTTGTCTTGCTTACAAGAGCAGCAGGATGAAAGCTGAAGTGTTTGGGGCACCATTATCTGCTCAGATTCAACCAAATGCTTCAAAACTCATTGGACGATGCTTCACAGTGCAGATGGACATTGACCTGAAGCATACTGCAAAAGCAACCAAAGACATTTTTAAGGCAAAGAAGTGGAATGTTCTGCAATGGCCAAGTCATATCATCTGACCTGAATCCAATTGAGCATGCGTTTCTCTTGCTGAAGCCAAAACTGAGGGCAAAACACCCAAAACACAAGCAGGAAGTGCAGACGGCTGCAGTAAAGGGCTGGCAGAGCATCACCAGGGAAGAAACCCAGCATCTGATGATGCCTATGTGTCCAACACTTCAGGCAGTCATTGACTGTAAAGGATTTGCAACCAAGTATTAAAACTGACTGTTTAATTGATGATTATGTTAGTTTGTCCAAATACTTATGAGCCCTTAAAGTCGGGGGACTGTGTGAAGAAATGGTTGTAATTCCTACACGGTTCATACTACATTTTTGAAAAAAGCCTTAAATGAAAGCTGAGAGTCTGCACTTTAAGCAGGTATTCATTGTTTCATTTAAAACCCATTGTGGTGGTGTACAGAGCCAAAATGATGACAACTGTATCATTGTCCAAATAATTATGGACCTGACTGTATAATAATATCAGTCAGAGGAACCAAACACTGCTTCTACTGCAATACTTTAACTACATTTTTCTCTCTCAGAACTGGTTCTTATGACGTGTTGTCTGAACACATCAGAAATCAAATGTGTTTGTCATTCTGAACAGCATCAAGGTGGAGTGAATGTTAAAATAATTAGGCAATAAACATCAAACACAACTTTAAATGTCATATTTGGGTTTATATTCAACTAAGGTAGGCATTGTGTGATCCATGTACTATAGATATATATTTTTTTTTTTTTTACTGTAACTGAAACACAACCCGGGAGCGGGATGGTACAGGAGTTATTCTTGTGGGATTGGGACGGGATGGGATTATTTTTGTGGGAGTGGGATGGTACGGGAAAATCCACTCCCGTGTCACCCTCTAGTACAAGGTTGTTGCCGCAGCGGCCCGGGTTCGGGTCCAGCCTGTGGCCCTTTGCTGCGTGGCGCTCCCTCTCTCTCCCCCCTTCGCACTTGTCTGTCCTATCCATTAAAGGCCAAAATGCCCCAAAAAATATCTTAAAAAAAAAAAAAAAAAGAATATTTAGGAATGCAATAAAGAAAATGTAAATATCCGAAATAACACGTAAATATATCGAAATAAATAAATAAATAAATAAAAATAGACTAAATAGAAAAAAAACAAAAAAAAACAACCAAAAACGATAAAATGGTTCGGGAGCGTATTGCATTCCCTTGACAAATTCAAAAAAGCCCTGATTTTCGTGGCAATTTTTTTCTGTTTTTCGTGGGGTTTTTTCTTTGGATCAATAAGGGTAATTACGTGCCTTACCCTTATTGATCCCGTAGTTGAAATTGTCTAGGAGCAGGAGCACAGATGCAAAAGTACATCCATGAGCAGGAGTCACCATGGATGCAGGGGTCACTTGCAGGTGCCAGGTGGGAGCTTCTCGCAAAATTTTCAAGTATCTCGTCTCCTCGTTCCCCCCGAAAATTAGAAACAAATGACAAAAAAAACCCCAAAAAACCCAGAAAAAAATACCCCGAAAAACAGGGCTTTTTTTATTTGTCAAGTGAATGCAATACGCTTCCATAAAATGGACTCTCAGTCTCTTATAAAAAATTCTATTTAAAAAAAAAAAAACAACCAAAAACAAATATAAATAGACTTTAAATAGACTAAATCCAAAACACTCCCACACAGGGGCCGTGGCATTTGGTTTAGGAACAAGTTCCCTGTCTCTCTTACTGTGCGTTCACACTAAACACGATGGACGCGATGAACGCCACAAGTTTCCATTCAAAATCAATGTAAATGACGCGATGACACGCGATGTCACTTCGGGCGACGCGTTTCAGGCGATAAGAGCGACGCGATGAAGCGTCCATCGCCTCATCGCGTGTGTCGCTTGAAGATGAAAAATTTTAACTTTTCAAGCGACATCGCGTGACGCTGTGCCGCGACATCCAATCAGCGTTCATTATCATAAAGAAATTATAAGCAACTAACCGGAGACAGATGGACAGGCGCTCCGCAGCTGGGATGGAGCGCCTGTAGTTGGTGTCCAGGCGGGAGATCCTCACACCGATACGGGCCAACAGGTCCTCAAACTGGGCCAGCGTCAGCCTGAAGTACTGCTGGAAACGACCGTCATCCAGACGCAGCTCTTGCAGGAGGTGATGATATTCACCCAGCGTTTCTGGAGGATATTGTGAACCCAGACACGGCGGCGTTTGGGTCTCCGATCCAAATCAGATGTCCACAACAGATAAAGAGCAGCTACGGTAGTTAACTCAGCCATGGTTGACGAGAAAATAGCGGGAGGTGAAGAAAATTGCAGGGGGAGGGTTGCGTCATCGCGATTGAAGTGATGATCAAAAAGGTGACACTTGTGATCAAGCGACGCGATACTCGCGTTACGGGCGATGACATCGCGTCCATCGCGTTTGGTGTAAACGCACAGTTACGCTCAACTCTCTGTTTTCTTCTCTGCCTCGTCTCCCCCTCACGAAGATCGCACTGTGTGTGTGTGTGGCTCATAGCCCCGCCTCCCCCACAGAGACAAAGACACTCGATGACAAGAGCTTTCCCTCCGTTCATTACGCTAATGAACCAACTCACCTGGCTGCCAGATGATGCACGGCAGTGAACGCTCTTGTCGTCTTGAGAAAGACGAGGAAAACAAACACGCATGAATACGGCAATTAATCGCGGCCAGAAAAGTTACCATCTCCCTTTAAATCTACAGTGCAATTAACTGACTTATCGCATATCGCGACAGGCCTAGTTTCAGCTGGTTGCAATTTGTAATCCTCACCACTAGATGCCGCTATATCCCCATAAAGTCTGACACACTGTTCCTTTAATGGGTGAAGTGTTGTTTCAAAAAACAGTGGAAGCCAGAAAGAGAACTCAGAAGTTTCTAAACTACCCACTGAGTCATGTTCATCATTCATAGAACAACCTTTTACATAATGAGCATTATTATAAAAGCAAAGGGACACGCTGGGACTGAGACACAGGTTCAACAACCTGTCTTTAAGTTTATCTTTATCTCTGTAAAGTGCAAAACTAAGACCCGCGCTGTGAAGTGACTGGGTGATAGTGTTACCTTGGCAGCAGCAGCAGCCCCCACTGTCTCCTCCAGCCTCTGCACCTCTGTGAGAGCTTCATCTCTCTCCTGGTAGGCCTGATGAAGCTGCTCCCTGAGCTTCATCACCTCCCTCCTGCAGGCCTGACGCTCCTCCTCACTGTCCTGCTGCAGCGCTGCCAGCTGCTGCTCCAGATGGGCTGAGCGGGAAAATCAGAGGACAGAAAAAAAACAGTGTGTTGTAGGTGCCACAGTAACACACGATACACTTAGTGAGATCACTGTTTCCTTGTCTCAGCTAACCAACAGGGTTACATATGAGCCCTTACCTGTGTGAGATGGATCCAGCTGTCTCTCAGTCTCCAGGCGGAACACGGTGAGTTTGAGGGTCTGCAGCAGACTCTCCATGCGACACACCCGGCTCACTAAAGCGTCACACTGTCTCCGCAGCGCGCCCTCGTCCCAAGTGACCCGACGCACCTTCAGAGGACTCACAGGGCGCTGTGTGGCGTCCATCCTCTGTGCAGACCCCAGGATCTGATCCCTGGAGACCCCCAGTGTGCCCGTGTCTCTAATAAGAGCTTCAGCCTCCTCCTCGGCCATCAGCAGGCGCTGGTGCAGGAGGGACAGAACCTCTGGGGCCGTGGCCCCGACACCGAGAGGCGGGATGGCTGAGTGGGACATTCTCAAACAGGGGGATAGTGCAGGTGGAGGTGGTTGAAGGCAGAAAACCCTTCTAGGTGCACCTGTGCCCAGTCTCAAGCTCCAGCCATGATTTCAAACTTCCTGTAGAATGAAAACTGCTTTTTTAAGTGCTTGTAAGATTTATTTGCACAAAACAAAACAACAGTGTGAAGGACTTTTGTTGTGTTACAGCCTTCAACGTGCGCTGTGACGCTGGAATTTAACTGAATCCATTCTTCCCTCTACCTGTGAAATGTTCCCCGTGCCACTGGCTGCAACACAAGCCCAAAGCATCATCCATCCACCCCCGTGTATAACAGTTTGTTCTCCAAACATACCTTTGCTCATTGTGTCCAGAAAGTTCTGTTTTACCTTCATCAGTCCACAGGACTTGTTTCCAAAAAGCATCAGGCTTGTTCACATGTTCCTTTGCAAACTTGTGAGGCTGAATGTTGTGGTGAGGACACAGGAAAGGTTTTCTTCTGATGACTCTTCCAAGAAGATCATATTTGTCCAGGTGTGTCTGCACAGTAGAACAGTGCACCACCACTCCAGAGTCTGAGAAATCTTCCTGCAGGTCTTTTGCAGCCTTTCTAACAATCCTACGAGCAGCTCTCTCAGAGAGTTTCAGCTTGACCAATATGGAGTTAGATTTGTGTCTTTATTACATGCGAGAAAATAAATGACATGAGAGAAAAAAAAATATTTGAGAGAAAAAGTTTTCACATTAATAGCAAAAAATAATAATATTTGAGACTAAAAAAAGTTTTGAGAGAAAGTATTTTGTCATAGAATATAAAAAAAATAATTTGAGATTTAAAAAATGATTTCTGAGAAAAAAAAACTCTCAAAAAACTTTTTTTACTCTAAAATATTATTTTTTTGCTATCAGTGTGAAAACATTTTCTCTCAAAAAAAATTGTTTCTCTCAAAACATTTTTCAAATTTTTTAAATTTAACTGAATCATTCATCCACCATGGTGGATTCACCGGCATAGATGCGCTGCGTTATTTGGGATAGGAAACTCCAATGTTTGGGTAAGATGATGACACAGATGAATGATTCAGTTGAATTCGACTCCCAAGATGATCCTCACCCAGCTGTCAATTCGATTGAGACTGGCCAATAGGAACGTGGCCCTGCCCATGACGTTATTTCGCAGCGAAAGCAAAATCCTGACACGAGAGCAAAGACTTAAAAAAATGTTTTGAGAGAAACAATTTTTTTTGAGAGAAAATGTTTTCACACTGATAGCAAAAAAATAATATTTGAGAGTAAAAAAAAGTTTTTTGAGTTTTTTTGTCTCGGAAATCATTTTTTAAATCTCAAATTATTATTTTTTTATATTCTATGACAAAATATTTTCTCTCAAAACTTTTTTTAGTCTCAAACATTATTATTATTTTTTGCTGTCAGTGTGAAAACTTTTTTAACTGAATATTTCTTTTTCTCTCAAACATTTTTTTTCTCTCATATCATTTATTTTCTCGCATGTAATAAAGACACAAATTTAACTCCATAATTGACAGCTGGGTGAGGATCGTCTTGGGAGTCGAATTCAACTGAATCATTCATCTGTGTCATCATCTTACCCAAACATTGGAGTCTCCACTCCCAAATAATGCAGCGCATCTATGCCAGTGAATCGACCATGGTGGATGAATGATTCAGTTGAATTCGAAAAATTGAAAAATTTGAAAAATGTTTTGAGAGAAACAATTTTCACAATGATAGCAAAAAAATAATATTTTAGAGTAAAAAAAAGTTTTTTGAGAGTTTTTTTTTCTCAGAAATCATTTTTTAAATATCTTTTTTTTATATTCTACGACAAAATACTTTCTCTCAAAACTTTTTTTAGTCTCAAATATTATTATTTTTTGCTATCAGTGTGAAAACGTTTTCTTTGAAATATTTTACTTTCTCTCACATCATTTATTTTCTCGCATGTAATAAAGACACAAATTTAAGTCCATAGACCTCCACAGTTCCTGTTAACTGCCATTTCTTACTGACATGACCAACAGCAGAGGAAACAGCTCCCTGAAAACACTTTGCTATCTTCTTCTAGTCTTCATCAGGTCTTTTAGTGTTCAGAGTGCTAGGCAGCTGTTTAGAGGAGCCCATGGCTGCTGGTTGTTGGGACAAGCTTTCAGGAGTCAGAGTCTTTATAAAGCTTTGAAATTAGCATCACCTGGCCTTTACTAACGATGACTGTGAACAAGCCAGAGCCCTGACAAGTTCATTAAGGTCTGAGACCCTGGGAAAAGTTGTCTGAGAGCTCAGATGTCTTGGGGTGCCCAAACTGATGCACTCCACTGACACACAGCTGAGCTCAATGTGATGACATCGAGCCAAAATCATTTCAAATGCTGTCATGTCCCTGCAGGCTGCAGAGCATACATTAAACGTCAGTGTTTTTGTTACTCGGGTCATTTTTTCTATAAATGGCGCGCGAACAAATCACAGCAGCAGCAGTGTGTTTCACTTCTCGTGCGCGACACTATAACACGACACGAGCAAAATAAAATGTCATCAAGCGTCACGTTAACAGACACAGCTTCCTAAACTGTAACGTTGCTCTTTGCATCAGAGTCAAACAAAGTAGTAGATGTAAACCCAACTCACCAAAGTCACCACTTCCGCCCCCTGTAACCATGGCGACGCGTCACTGTACTTCCTTCCTTTCAAATCGTTCATCTGATGCATTCAGGACAATCGGAAATCTCACAACTATGACTTGAGCAAGGCGATAATGTGTCGCTGTGTATTATAGCTCCAACAAACAGCTTCAACAAAAACATTATAACCGTCATGATGGTGGATTTATCGCAGGACTTCTGTATTAGACTGTGTTCAATATAATTACATAGAGAGAGCAGAGATAAGGCACAAACATGTGAAAGTGTGTGACTTCATCATGTGATCACCTCTGACCTTTGCTCCAGCACCGATTCACTCTCTGCCTTCATCCAGCTCACTGACTCCATCAGAAGGGACAGACTACAACTTATGGTCATGAATCACTGTAAATGCTGTCGTGTGTGAGGGGTTATAAAAGACACTGAGACCATCTTGTTGTAAAAGGCCTGCAGTGAATATCCAAGTCACTATTCTATAGACTAGACCACTGTTAGACCACTAGTCACTAGACCCTATTCCAACTAAACTTTTTAAATCCAGTCTCTTGTGCCTTTCTAATGACACTACCAGAATCGCCAACACTTCTCTACAGTCTGGTATTTTCCCTGCTGCTTTTAAAACAGCCATGGTGAAACTTTTGCTCAAGAAACCTGATCTCGACACTAGTGACTTAGCCAATTATAGGCCTATTTCAAATCTCCCTTTTATCGGTAAACTGTTAGAGAAAATTGTATTTAATCAACTATTAAAAAATCTTAACACTAATAATTTATTGGATAAATTTCAATCTGGCTATCGCACTAACCACAGTACAGAAACTGCCTTATTAAAAGTAGTTAATGACCTCAGAATCGCAGCTGACTCGAATAACGTTGCTGTCCTCTTTTTACTTGACTTGAGTGCTGCGTTTGATACCGTTGATCATTCCATATTAATTTATCGACTTGAGAAACGGATGGGTCTTTCTGGTGCTGTGCTTGACTGGTTTCGTTCTTACTTGTCTGACAGGAAATTCTTTGTTAGCCTAGGTGATTCTGTATCACAGACATTTTATGTTGAGTATGGTGTACCTCAGGGGAGCATCCTTGGTCCGATCCTCTTTTCTTTATATATGCTCCCTCTAGGTAAAATAATTAGTCTTCATAATGTACATTATCATTGTTATGCAGATGATATGCAATTATATATCTCTGTTTCATCAGGAGACCCTAGTGCGTTAAACAGTCTTTTTTCCTGTCTTACAGATATTAACAACTGGATGAACAAACATTTTTTAAAGCTAAACGAGCAGAAAACAGAGATTTTACTTGTTGGTCCACTAGAAGAAAGGCAGAAACTTCAGTCAGATTAAATCACATGTTACAAGCCTAGGAGTGATTTTAGACTCTGATCTTAATTTTATTCGCCATTTTAACAGAAGTTGCAAAAACATAATTTTTTCACCTTAGAAACATTGCCAAAATTAGACCTTTTTTAACTCAGGATGATGCTGAAATACTTGTACATGCTTTTATCACTAGCAGTTTGGACTACTGCAATTCCCTTGTTACTGGTCTCCCTAGAAAGTCACTGAAGAAACTACAAGTTATTCAGAACGCTGCAGCCAGGATTTTAACAAATACAAAAAAAGAGATCACATTAGTCATCAGCTTGCATCATTGCACTGGTTGCCTGTTTCTTTTAGGATTGATTTTAAAGTTCTGTTACTCACTTATAAGGCCTTAAATAATTTAGCACCGTCTTATATCAGCGATTGCCTTTCTTCTTATGTCCCAACAAGAACTCTCAGATCCTCCACTGCCTGTCTTTTAGTTGTTCCCAAGGTGTCCCACAAGAGAACCGGTGAAGCTGCTTTTTGTTTTTATGGCCCTAAACTATGGAACACTCTCCCTTTAGATCTGAGAATGGCAGACTCCTTAGCTATTTTTAAAAAGAAATTGAAAACCTATCTTTTTAATTTGGCTTTTAATACAGGTTGATTTGATTTGATTTTTATCACTGTTATTGTTTTGTTTTCTTAATGTTGTTTAAATTGATGTGTTGTTTTTAACTGTTGTTGTTTTGTTGTTTCTGATATTGCTTTGTTCATGCACTTTGGGCTGCATTCATGCATGAAAGGTGCTCTATAAATAAAGTTCATTATTATTATTATTATTATTATTATTATCATAGTTATTCAGTTATTGTTCAGAGCTCTTACAGAATAATAATATCTGCTCAAACGCTGTTTAAACAGTGTGTTGTCTCTGCAGATGTGGTTCAGATTGATCCCAGGTGGGGCTCAGTACCTGCCCTTTGCCCTCTGACAGAGGTGGGTAGTAACTAGTTACATTTACTCAGTTACATTTACTTGAGTAACTTTTTGGATAAATTGTACTTTTAAGAGTAGTTTTAATGCAAAATACTTTTTACTTTTACTTGAGTTATATTGTTTTAAAGTAACAATACTCTTACTTGAGTACAATATTTGGCTACTCTACCTACCTCTGAGTACATCATTACATATATACATATATATATGTATATATGTATATATGTATATATGTACAGTATAAGAATATATTTGTGTTTCTTGTGCCTTGATTTATGTTATGTTTGTAAAGATTTAATTTATTTTTGTTTTAGTTAAAGGGGTATCGTTTAAAATACATGAATTTGCAGATTATTATTTTTGATTGATTAATTACATTCATGTTCATATTTTACAAATAAAGCAGACGTTACTCAACAGTTACTCAGTATTTGAGTAGTTTTTCACCAAATACTCTTTTACGCTTACTCAAGTAATTATTTGGATGACTACTTTTTACTTTTACTTGAGAAATATTGTTCTAAAATATCAGTACTCTTACTTGAGTACAATTTTTGGCTACATGAAGTGCAGAATAAAGTGAGGAGAGGAGAACAGAACTCACTTGAAGCCCGTTGTTGTAATTAAACACAGGTCTACTTATAGTTTGGAGGGTAGATTGGTTTGCTGATTATTTCAGTCATTCAGGGAACAATGTTTTTTTTATTAATTTAGTGTAAAGATTTATTGATTGTGGTGGGGTTTTTTTTATAGACACTAAAGTGTGTACACTGATGATAAATGTAGAAAGTGTGTGTGTAGCAGCAGGTAGGTGTGTATAGTATAGACATTGAGACACCTCAGACTCATTACTGTGCATTAATGTACTGTAATTAGGCCTCAGGAGCTCCTCTGGTGCCAGCAGACACATAGAGACCTCCAGGGGCCTCTGCAAGCAAACAAAAGAAAAAACACACCTGCCTATATGCAAAAATATTTTGTGTAAGCGATGCCCTTTAGTCCCACCTGAGCACCTGCCCCACTAAATGTCTGTGCACGGCTCTGGCTAGTGATGTGACGCTCACAAACGAGCCGAGTCTTTGAACCGGCTCTTTAGAGTGAACGAGCCAGTTCCTAATTTCTTTGCTTTTTACTTTACTTTACTCTGTATCCATTAATTTCAGATTATTTGATCTGGAACAAGTTGAGAGAGACTAGTTTGCGTTCACTCATTCACTTCAAAAAGCCGGTTCAAAGACTCGGCTTGTCACTCACACCACTACTTGTTGTTTATAAAGGCCGTTGCTATGGCTACAATATCCAGACCACGTGATGCAATAAATCACCAATGCGATTTGTCATTGAACCCAGTTACACAGCCCCACCACACACACACACAAAGGAAATAAAAAAAATAAAAAAATAAAAAATAAGTGAACGAGAAATCCCATCACTAGCTCCGGCTCTGAAGTCTCACTCAAGCTCATAACTGACCCCTTCACTGCTGCAGTCACACTGGAGCTTTGGCGCCATCCTGTGGCACATGCGCACAATGACACCATGTGATGGCGCAGCATGATTTCACTTTCTGTTTTGCTGAACTGAGACTGAAAGTGTCAGGTCACAAAGTCAGACTTTTTCTGTAAATCGATCATAGTTCGAGGATTTCTGCGGATGGAGAACAAGGAGGAGACACGCACCTGCGGCCAGTGGTGAGAGTTTACTTTATCAAACGTTTCTTATGAACCAAAGTCACTGTAAATTACATTTAAAACTCTGGTTGTGTGATGTTGGTTTAATACTTAAGAAGCAAATATACTGAACATAGGACGTGAACCAGTAGTGTACCTGTTCAACACTGGTTTCAGACAGTTAAAGTGAACTGTACACTGAATAATATTCATGTCTCTGTATATTTTTAATGACTATATTCCAACAAACACCTGACAGAGAGCAGTGGGACATCAGCGGACTGTGTGAGTCCACGTTTGTAAGAAGGAAGAAAGTTAGAAGTCTTAACACACATTAATCTGACGTCGAGGCAATATGAACCTGTAATGTGTTTAATAAGTTCAGCAGTGAGACTCATTAACTAGGGGTTAAAAGAAACAGTCTCCTTTCACTTTCTATATTAGGTTTTTAGAGAGAGAGAAAATGTTTTCACACTGATAGCAAAAAAATAGTATTTGAGAGTAAAAAAAAAAAAAGTTTTTTGAGAGTTTTTTTTTTCTCGGAAATCATTTTTTAAATCTCAAATTATTATTTTTTATATTATCTTCTTTTTTATATTTTTTAGTCTCAAATATTATTATTTTTTGCTATCAGTGTGAAAACGCTTTCTTTCAAATATGTTTTTTTCTCTCACATCATTTATTTTCTCGCACGTAATAAAGACACAAATTTAACTCCATATTGGTCAGCTACAGCACCACCAGAGAGAGAGTTATCTATAAGAACAGGACTGTGTGCTGATGTTGCTCTGCCGTTGTAGAGGATGTGAATGGAAACACATCTAACATATACTAAAATCACCCAGATGTGCCGATCACTGGGATGAGGAAACCGGAACAAACCAGAGGCCAGCTCCTTATCCCCGCTGCTTTCAGGCAGACTTAGGACACAAAAGATGAACAGAATAGTTTGGAGACGTTGCAGGTGTATTACTGGAAACACACTGAACATGATAACGCACAGTAAGGCATGACCCAGATGTGGCCATCACTGGCATCCTTTTAGGCCTGGCATGTTTGCTGTCAGGGCCCTGAGGCGGTAGAACAATCTGCCGGAGGAAATCAGGTCGGCCGAGTCAGTGATCCCTTCTTAAAACACCTTTTATCGGAGAGCTTTTCCTGATTTTACTTGAGTTTGAAGTTCATTTAAAGTGTCTTTTATTTCTTACAAGACATAATATGACCGTCAACATTTTTCTCTTGAAGCCACAAAGAGGTCGCAGAGGCCAACTTCGCTCTGCACGAAACGCACTGCAAGCGCTTCTTGTGTCCCTGTCCTGACTGTGGTGAATCAGTTCACAGAGAGCTACTGGACAAACACAGAGAGGAAGAGCACACGCAGGTACACACACACACACACACACAGGTACACACACACACACACAGGTACACACACACACTCCACATGACGGTGTGTTGTGGAGGCTTACAGCTCTGTTTGTGTGCAGGTGAGATGCTCCAAGTGTAACAAGAAGATGGAGCATCGTCACCTCAAGGATCATGAGGTGAGTTTAAATAACTTCATCCCTGTCAAAGTGGGGAAAAGATCAAGAGTCTCCAAAAGGCTCACTGTAAAGGTTAAACACCTGTTTATCAGTCTGCCTCTGCTCCGTCCTCCAGTCTGACGAGTGTGTGGAGCGTCTGCAGAGCTGTCAGTTCTGCGAGCTAGAGCTGCCGCACAAGGAGCTGGACGAACACAGTCTGGCCTGTGGGAGTCGCACTGAACGCTGCTTGGAATGCGGCCGCTACGTCACCCTGAAGGACCAGGCCGAGCACGAACTGACCTGCTCAGCTGCTGACGACGACTCAGCTGCTCCTCAGACTAGCAGCAAGCCGCCATCAAACGAGAGTAAGGGGATGTGTGGCAACGCCGACTAACTTACACAATACGTCTTTTTCTTCAGCTGTTACCATGACGATTCTACTAAACTCTGCCTGTTTTATTTCACAGGAATAACAGTGATGTGTAACAGATGTATGAAATCAATTCCAGCTGAGGATTTAGAAGATCACGAGGTTTGTGTCTATTGCAAGCATTTGTCTTACATTCATTCATTCACTTCCCATAACCACTTATCCTATCATGGGTCGCAGGGGGGCGGGAGCCTATCCCAGCTGACACTGGGTGAGAGGCAGGGTTCACCCTGGACAGGTCACCAGACTATCACAGGGCTGACACATAGAGACAGACAACCATTCACGCTCACATTCACACCTACGGACAATTTAGAGTCACCAATTAACCTGCATGTCTTTGGACTGTGGGAGGAAGCTGGAGCACCTGGAGGAAACCCACGCTGACACAGGGAGAACATGCAAACTCAGCACCATTGTGCAGCCCTTATCTTATATATTATGGTAAAAATGAAAGTAACAATCCCACATAAGAATGAAACAGGACAGACTGACAAAGTTAGTAACTAGCTGGGGAACACAGTGGAACATTTGGCAGCTAAAATCTCAGTGTATGTCTCAGAAGTTGGTATAGATTAAAAGCATGACGAGGCTACATCCATCCATTTTCATCGGCTTATCTGGGACAGGGTCAAGGGGGCAGCAGGCCAAGCAAAGCACCCCAGACGTCTCTCTCCCCAGCAAACCTTTCCAACTCCTCCTGGAAGATCCCAAGGTGTTCCCAGACCAGATGAGATATGTAACCCTACTGTTCTGGGTCTGCCCCGGGGCCTCCTACCAGTGGGACGTGCCTGGAACACCTCTAACCGGAGGTGTCCAGAAGGATCCTGATCAGATGTCCGAACCACCTCAACTGACCCCTTTCAATGCGAAGGAGCAGCAGCTCTACTCAAAGCTCCCTCTGGATGTCCAAACTCCTCACCCTATCTCTAAGGCTGAGCCCAGACACCCCACAAAGGAAACTCATTACAGTCACGTATCTGCAACCTCGTTCTTTCAGTCACTACCCAGAACTCATGACCACAGGTGAGGGTTGGGACATAGATGAACCAGTAAATCAAAAGCTTTGCCTTCAGCTCAGCTCCGAAAAGTGGCTCAGGGCTTGACACTAACTTTTTTCCCAAGGAGCACATGTGCTCCTAAGTTGAAAAAGTAAAGAGCGCACAAAGAACTTTAGGGGCACAATGTAAATTGATCAAATAATGTGTTTTCCGTAATAAACGTGATGCAAATAGACATTTACAAGCAAAATTATTGAATGAATTTGTATATAAAATGTACAGAAAGGTAAAATCATCAAGTTTTGAAAAAGTATTGCAATTTAATTTTGTCTTTAATGTTATTATCTTATATATATTATCTTTGTAATATCCTAAAACATTCTCCAGGTCCTCTGAAACTCTGCAGGACTTATTTCCACCCTGCCCAGCAGTGGTACCGTGGCGAACGGTCCCTAACTGCGGGGAGAATGGAGCAGGCTTCCCCGGAGGTCCGCCACTTTTCCCGGTCCGTCTCCTCCACACTTTGACTCATTTCCACCCAGCTGACAGTGGGACTTATATTTATTGTGCCAACAGTGGCTTGGAAAACCGCCCATAACTGTGTCACACGGGGAAGAGGGAAGAGGGAAGAGGGAAGGCGGCTGGAGTTCCTCCAACATTTGCGGTTAGATTATCATATTTTTTTATTGACAAAAATATAGGCTGCTTCGGCTGATTTTTTTATGCGCACATGTGCCCCTAAATATTTTTTACAGTTTGCACACACCTATTTTTAGTTGCAAATGCGAGTGAAAAGATCGCACTGTCGAGCGCTGTGGCTACATCTGTAATTCCCTTTCAATCCTGCACACTCGTCCTCAAAGTCAGCAATGCATAAAAAGTTTGCTAACTTTAGCCACCGTGAGCTACTGCTCAGCTACGGCTGAGGTTAAACCCCTGATTGTACTGCACTGAGCAGAGTGTTACACTGCTTAGCTGTTCAACTTTTATTTATAAGAGAAAAAATGTCCTCTTTCTTTTCCCGTACATGTCATAGACTCACCAAAAGCCCAAATCCACTGTAAAGGATATAAAATTAACACCTTTGTCTCTATCTCCCAAACCAGCTGGAGTGTTTTCCAACAACCAGGCTGGACGATGAAGAGGCTGCACCAGAGGAGGAAGAGAGCGACGATGAGGATGACTTCTACAGTGTGGGGGAAACTACTTGGCTAAGCAGCACCTTTAAGGCAAACTCCCTGTCAGACAAACCCAGCAGAGGTCCCTGGGGTGATGAAGGTGACCCAGACCAGATCAGCACCTGCCCCCACTGTCACCTGGCCCTGCCTAACTTCACACTACGCTGGCACACGGTAACACTCCTGCATCACAAACAATCTGTATATACATTCTTTAAAAAAGGTTCCTGTGCTAAAAGTTTCCCAATGTCTCTGTGTGTTTTTAGGTGAAGTGCCAAATCCACATTCTCTTGAAATAAAGAGACAGAGCTCGTCAGGATGGAAACACTGCTTCAGAGAACTTTGATCATGTGTTATTAGCAAAAGGATGGAAAATTTACTGGGCTCCTTTTTACATCTAAACAAAGGTTTACATTTTGTTTTTAGTTTTACTGACATTTAGTGTTAGTGTGTGCATGGCTTTGTGCTCGCATGAAGAGAAAGTGTTCTCAGAAAGTTCTCCGTATCTCAGTAAACTTCACACTCCTACTGACTTTCTAATTTTCCTTTATTAAATACAAATACAGCCATTAAACTGCAAAGCTAAAAGCTAATTGCATCTGTCTAACAAGCGAATGGTGTTTTGAGTCAGCAGCATCAAATTGAGCAACAAAAGTTTACATGTCAAAGTCTGAGATGAACTATTTATAAAGACATATTAACCATAACCTGTAGAAATAATGGATGTAGCTACCGTGATGTCACCCATTGGTTCGTGGACTGCCATTTTGAAACCTTGAGTTCAGCCATAAATGGTGGATAAACCAAGACGGTCCACTGCGAGTCAGTTTCCTGTATCAGTGTCACGTGGGGTTCACGACCACCACGCCCCTTTAGGAGACTAACAGCAGGTCCTGAGTCCATTGACTTCAGTGGGAGAAATAAACGATTCTTTCGCCCCATAGTCACGGAAGCAAATATTTGACCCATTTATCACAAGCCACATATCTTCAGAACATATTTTTTCCAGCGGATATCTTAGTTACAACATGATTGAGCTAGCAAAGCAGTTTTGTGTTGCTATGTGTGGTATTTATTCAGTTTTGGGAAATCACGATGTCTAGAAAGCATCAGTGGCTGCAGCTGACAGGGACAGCTAACAGCAGCAGCAAAAATATTTTTTTCACGGGCCGTTTATTTATTTAGCTTACGGCCAGTAAGGGTACACACATGTTGACAGAAGCGAGGTTGGGGATACTCGTCTTTGATTGGGGTACGGGGGACAGCGCCTACTTAGGAGACTGGAAATGTATACCATTTCATACAGTGGGAGTATATTGTAGATGGGCTATCTTGCAGTAATCCAGTATCTTTGGTTCAGCATGTCGTCTGTCGCCATCTTGGATTTTTAGGAGCCAGAAGTGACCATGTTTGGATTAGAGGGTGGAGCTATGGAGGGGTGGATCTCCTCACTTAAAGGAATATTTTTGTTGCTGTTTTGTTTGAACGGTGGATGTATGTCAGCTAGTTATGTAACGTTAGCTACGATTGTTCTCATTATGTTTTCCTTTGTAAAATAAAAAATTAAATTGAAAAAACTACGCAACCTACAGTCTTGAAAAAATGAAACTACGTATTACCTTGAGATGTCTTTAACACCAAAGAAAGTGGCGAGTGTTCATGTTAGCTAACGTGGCTGTTAGCGAGCTTTAACTACTATCTCGGTTTGAAATAAACATGAAACACGTGCCCTTTCTCAATACTGTTATAACGTTACTAAAGAAACTAGAATTACTACCCTGGCATGTTTGACTCCGCCCACCAGTCCAGTGTCTCTGACAGTCTCCATCCATGTCAGTGAAAACATGGATGCTTCACACACAGAAGATCTATACAATCAGCACAGTTTCAAGATTAGAGTCACCAATTCAGTATCTGACCAAATGTCTCCCCTTCTGTTCCTGAGATATGACGCTGAATAATGGCCAGAAAAGTGTTTTATGTAGAACATTATAATGTCACAGTGAAGTTGACCTTTGACCTTTTGGATCTGAAATGTCATCACTTCATTATTTTATCATGTCAGACATTTCTGTGAAGTTTTGTCATAATTAGTGTATGAATTCCTGATTTATGGCACAAAACATTTTGTGAGGTCACAGTGAGCTTGATCTTTGAACTTTGACCACAAAATTCGACCTTTGACCACTAAAGCGTAACAAGTTCATTGTTGAGTCCAAGACGTTTGTCCAAAATCTGAAGAAATTCCTTTCGGCGTTCTTGAGATATTGTGTTCACAAAGATGGGACGGACGGACGGACAACCTGAAAACATAATGCCTCTTGCTACAGCTATTGCCAGCGCAGAAGGATAATAAATATTAGGCCTGTATGAATATTATTGTTACTTTAGTTGAAGGAAAAATAAAAAAACATCAGGTCTGAGGTTAAATGAAACTTAGATTGTTGCTAAGGCTGACAGATGATGTCATGGGCAGACACGGTCAGATTTTCTGGAGCTGCCATCGATCAATATCTTTACGTTTGACGTTAAATGTACTGAAACTTGTACTGAGACAAAGCAATTACACACCTAATGACAGATAATAATAAAATTAATTGACCACACACAGAATGAAGTGAGACTCGTTTAATATTTCCTTTGCAAAGCAGTAAATTTGTTGGTATTCTCTTACAGTACATTACAACATTTCTATGTCAGAAAATAGGTCACTTTAAGTAAAAAACAAAACCAAAATATATAAATCGGCTAATATAATTGATTCCAGCAAACCAATACCATTAAATAGGGGAGATATTGTATCAGTGAAAGTTATAAACAGCAATATTCATAATCAAGAAGAAGCCGTGAGAACCGCGCCATGTTATGGTAAATAATCTGATGAACTTTAATGATACATAAACTGAGCAGCATAGTACAGTACACTCACTGTGATGCAACAATCATCTTAAAGGCACTTGCTGAATCCACATTGTTTTGAAAATAAAAACATAATATTTATATTTGTTTCTGAGAACACACTAATAACACGACAACCTATAAATACGCATTAACAACAACCAGTGCAACATATCTTTATGTTCAATTAGCTCTGATAACCAGATAACCAGTCTGTATTAAAAAGGAATGAATAGTCTTTAACTACTGCAAGGTGCTGGTGGGCTCGTAAGACTGCAAGCTGCGAATAAGTCACAGGTTATTTGCTCCACAAAAAAGTAAGAGTTATGTTTTCAAGTCCCCCAGGAACAACTGGAGTTTATTAAAAACACTGAGGAGAAAATCAAAACTGCAAAATCGTCTCTATCTTCCAACAGCAGTTTGTTCACGACTATTCTGTGAGCCCTATAAATATTTTTATATTACATATAAACCATGAATAAAAACAGCAACGTCCTTAGGACAGTACGCAGATTAAAATCAGTACTGTAGGAGTAATAATTATCTGCTTATTTATAAATAAAAATGACTTTGTAGCCAATAATACAATGTATTTAAAAAAGTGGAGAGGAAAGACAGTCTGATCTCCTACTAAAGCCCCATTTCCACCAAGCAGTACAGTACAGTGCAGTTCGATGCACATTTTTTCCTCCACTGTGAAAAGTTGTGGATGGTACCAACAGAAGCGTTCCTTAGCGTCCCCATGTTTGGTCCCCCCTCTGTTGGGGTACCTAGCACACAGATGTGGTACTAAAAGGTGGAGCTGTGAACACTGCAGTCTGATTGGTCAGTAGAGGACGGTCACTCTGCTCAGGGCTGAGTTGTGTCTGGTTTTGAGGCTCATGTAACCACTGTTCATACTGTGGAGAGTTTTATTAGTAAACTGTAACTATAAAATGAAAGGATGTTTTGCTGCCTCTCACAGCAGCTGGAGTCTGAGAAAAAATAACTTCATTCACTGGGCCGACTGCCGGCAACTTTTAAGGTGGAACGTTAACTTGTAATGTT